AACGGCGGGAGCGAAGGACAGTACTGGGAGCAAGAGAGAATCCTCGTCGGCTTGCTTCATGTCTGACCTCACGTAAAGTGATCCTCTATAAAATACATTGTGGGAGTCACGACAATTAATACAAGTGCGTGATTATGCAAAGCAGTTTGTACGATCATGGCCTGACTGGACACACAGGGCAGCAGGCTGTGGAGCGACAGTATTTGGAAGGGTTGCCAAGATGTCAACATTTCTGACACAGACTCGGGGGCTGATATGGTTTCATCAAAAACTCTCCGCCAATGTAAACATGGGGAGGTTGTCTAGGTAAAGGAGGACTTTCGGCGGCCTCTAATCGCTTCCACAGTCTGACCAATCCTTGTCGCAGGCAGGGTAATCTGCCGAGATGAATACAGTTCCGGTACAAGTGTAAAGGGAAAGGTGAGGCTAGAAAGGGATAGGTTTGCCAGTGAGGTCAGTCAGGGTAGATAGTGACCGAGCTTAGGACTAGACGTGTACGATCGGACCGGCTGCGGAAGGAAGCCCTGCTTCCTTGTTTTTGGAGACAGTGTTGGAAGAGAAGGGTATTGTAACAATAAGGGGCTCTAGGAGGAATAAAAAAAATCGATCCCACTTGGCAGGGCTAAAAAGAGTATTACTTCCACCTCTACATACCCTTTGAGTAGAGGGCGGGAGGAGAGGGAGTGGTGTGAAGAGAGGTATTACTGGGGGGAGGACAATAAGGATGAAGAATGGAAAGAAGGGTTTAGGAAATGAAGACTGCAAGAGGAGATGGAGTGGAGGATGTTGGGAGAGAGAAAGGGATATATTCTGGAGACGGAATAATGACTTGGGTGGATGATTCACAATGGATCAATTTATCAGCATGCATCGAGTAGGGCATAACAGATTGTGGGGAATAGATACAACTCACCCCTCTAGGTCCTCATGTGGGGTAAGAGCTAGACATAAAAATGGTAATACCATGCCCATGGCTCCCCGAGGCCATCCGGGACTTGCCCAAAGCCACCCTTTTATCCTTTCAACACGGCTCTCACATCTTCAGGAGTGGACAGAAGAGAGAGAAAAAAGGGGGAAAAGAGAAGGAAAAGGGGGGGGGAGAAGAGAAGGGATAAAAGGGGGAGAATTAAAAATGTTGCAAATTTGGTTGAGCCAAGGGCTGAAGATGAAGGTAGGAGGAGATCCCCAACACTGAGCCTCACCCCCCCCCCTATCAATGAGCATGGGGGGGGGGGGGGCTATGATTTAAAAATCTGGCTATCCTCATCATGTTCAAAGTATATAGCTTTCATAAAGCAGTTGTTTCAGACCAGATATATGTGGGAATCTTGTCATGATTCTTGTTGCTGAATTCTAATATTCTTTGGACAGATTTACTATATATATATGTAGTCATATTTGCACCTGGATTACCTTGACCATCATGTTGATGTATTCAAACAGTTTATCAAATGTGTCTCTTGACAACATGCAATAAGTACTGTGCCACATTTTACAGGCACAAAATGTATTTTCTATATTTCATGGTCTGAAATTCATATTGAATGACTGAATTACGATACTGTGGATTGTATTTTTTTTTCAGGAAGCTAGATTCAGAAGTGTTATAGCAAGATTTCCATTAGGAATCTGAATTAAGAGTCATCTTCAATGGAGTTTTTGTGAATTGAATGATGTACTTTGGCTTTAGTAGTGATTCTCCTTGAGCATTTAAGTCACATAATCTGAAATAAGGAAGAATAACATGCAGTTTCTCTTCATGTCACATTTATTCTACACACTGTACCACAGGGCTAATTGATGTCATTGTCTGTGCTCTCATGCTCTCATGATCAGGCTTCAAATAATTGATATACATATTAATAAATTTTCTGAGTATGAGAGTACACACATACCACAACCCTGAGTATAAGGAACACACGCCTTCTCACACCATGGTCCAGCAAAATAAATTAATATTAATTAACATTAGTTTCACTTGTATGCATGGCAGTGGGTACACTGTTGGCTTCCAAACCTTGGCAGTGATGGACCTACAATGAGCCTCTATTAGTAATCATTGTAAGAGATCATTAACATCACAAGCAACATCAGCGCACCATGGCAGATTTCCATATGAACATTATCAACACTTCCCAGGCAGGCAGCTTAACTCAACTTTTTTCCTTTTCTGTTAAGCACATTTTACATTTTTCAATTAATGAGAACTATGAAAATGAGTTGGAATAAAACTCAAATGCATGGTTTATCTCATATCTCCAAGGCACCTCATGGGCACCTTTGCAATGGAATGTTTTTTTCCTTGCACACCACAAGCACCATGAGATGAGTAAAATTATCAGAAACTTGCATCACAAAAGAGCTGTTTCATTTGCAATAATAGGCAGAATATGTAGCTGGCACACTTGTTAACGACAGATATCCTTAGTGTTAATATTAATCCATAACCTGACTGTTACTGGCAGTGCTAGTTTCAAGTATCACTATATTAACAAAGGTATCTGGAACAGACACTCAAGACATAACTAAAATTAAACATTCAAACAAACCATCTAATGTTTGAGATCTCCAGTTTTAGGGATACATATATACTGGGATGAATTTTGAACAACCGGTACATGGAAATGGTCAGTATTCTGTATTCTTTTGTTTCTTGTTTTATGGATTATATGTGATGAATAACTGGTACACAGTTACCATTAACTTCAGCTCCTGGGCGCTGACGTGCTGAGATAAGGGGCTTTGAAAAATGCATAAACAGCAATGTAATATAAAATTCTGAGTACAGGTGCAACTTGTCCCTAGCACCGATGGCCTCTTGCTTGAGGTTTCTAGTCATCTTTACTTTTACTTGGCAATGATACCTGCTTTGGAGACAGATGACCTGTACTTAGAAAACACTTACATACATTTTTCAATGACACCCAAAATTCATGTGTATTAAACTTGCTCCAGCCCTACAATACAAGTAGGGACCCAAATGAACATAAGAAGCTGTGATATGTTCCCTACTGCAGAGGAAAGGCACTGGATATGCTGTGGCCAGGGTTATGAGTGTATCAACAACTATGGGGGGAGGGGAGGTATTGAGACAGTATCCCATAACAAAGTCTGAAAGTTTCTGTCATGGGATCTAGGAATGAGTCATGGAAAATATTTTATAACTGGTAGCAATATGGCAACAATTTTGCTATATTTCAACAATTCAACTAATGGCAGCCAAGAATGATAGGTAATATGGACTGTTCCTTTGATTTTTTTTTTTTTATTCTTTTTTGTTTTACTACAAAACAATTATTTATTTACCTACAGTCTTTAAATGTATCTAATGGAAATCTAAATAAAGTCACATACAAATGTACATAAATGTGCCAAAGGATCAACCTTCATTAACTATCAGTGACTGTACAATTCATGAATTACATGTCTTTTTCTGAGTTGCCCAATTGGTATAATTCTAAATACTTTCTGTACTGCTGCCACTATAAATTACTATGTGTATCAATATCATTAATGTGTATAAAGTTAGCTATTGTGTAACAAACCCCCGGCCTTTCAGGGATTACACAGCCACATAGATAATAATGAGAATCAAACTAAATTGAGCACAAAAAGATTTTTCAATACACAGTACTTGAGCGAACTGAACATAAAGGGAATAAATAATTATTGATTCTTTAAATTACAAAAAAATGAGGATATTCTGAACTTAACCAGTACTAGCATGGTTGTTACACAATTAACACAACAGTAAACATGATATATATCCACCCTTTTTAACAGTGATGTTCGGATATCATTAAACCATTATGGGGCACCCCTAAATTAAGTACATCAGGAGCTGTGCCCTGTAACTTACACAGAAAAAAATGTAATAAATAAATAAAAAGTAAATAGTATTTGAACATTAGTCATTACAATTAGTACTGCCTAAAAATACAACCTCATCATATTAATGGCATCATCTACCACAAGCAGAACATGTTCAAATTGGCCCATGTTGTGACAGCCCAAACACCACATCCACTGTCTGACCAATGCTAACTGTTTATTATTACAGCTCCCTTAGTATATCTAGCTTAGAACATCTCTCATACTAAGTCTGTCTTGGCACGTCTTGTCTTTCTACATATGCGATAGTATTTGTTTTCTAAACCTATCTCATGACGTCTGTCTCACACATCTGTCTTGGCAACTTATTACATCTGTTTTCTTGTATCCCATTACTGCTATATTTCATCAAAATGAAGAATATACTGTACACTATTCTTTCTGATCTGCCTTGCTTCCCATTGTGCTATGGACACTGAGGGTGAGTATATAATATAAAAAAGTACAAAAAATCAACATAACAGCAGTAGTGTCAATGGTAGACACATGACATTGACAGAAGATAAGTTACATTGTACTGAAGGCAACAGTCAAGAAATACATAAATAAATACAAGAATAACCTAATCCTAACAAGTTAGGATAAAACATATGAAACAAACTTGAAAATGGATGTATATTTTGCATATGGCATAGGCTGTAGCCATCCCCAGGGTACTAAAACAAACGATGAACATGCCAACGTATGGGAATACTGCAGGTGTACCTGGTGGGTCCAGGGGGATCCTACACTCTCACACACTCATTGCACACAACAAAACTGGTTGAAAAAATTGATGCAATTTTTTCATCTAAATGCATAATTTTTTTTCTTTTTTTTGTGCAAAATGGTTAGGCTGCTGATACAGCAGAAAATGTGCCAACTGGATATATGCCATAATGTTGTACAATTGATAATCATCCAAGAGTGCAATGGCAAACATATTTGATTCTTGTAACCAGTTATGTAGAAAGTTTAACATATTTGTTTGCATTCCAGACAATTAAGGCAATTCCTTTATCTTAACCAGAATCAATCTTTTATGAAAACAGGTATATTAATATCAGCACAGGAGTGCAATTGTGAGCCTGACAGAGGTGCAGGACCCATGGGGAGGGGGAGGGGGCGGGCAGAGGGGATGGTGTGTAGGGTTTGCAGGTCATTAACTTTAAAACTTAAACAGGCACCAATAACAACCACAGTTTAATAGGAAGTAAAATTTTGATTCTTAGGAAGAGCTCATCTATTCTAATATTCATTGGAACTAGCATTCAAGTGGCTTGTTTGATTCAGTAGGTAAAAAATGCCCAAGTTTTGTCCAAAAAACTATTTAGAACAGCTGAGGTAATACATATCACATAAGGAACCTGAGACAGCAGATCCATAACTACCACGACTGTTTGTCGCATTAACACCAACATGCTGCATTTTTCTTTCCCCCTAAACAACAGTTGAGATCCTTACCTTTTTCTGGCTATCAGATAGAGCTCTTCCCAAAAAGGAGGGAGAAAAAAAATTAAATAAAAAAATAAATAAATAAAATGAAATAAAAATTGCCTATCATATAACAAGGTAGCAATCCTACACACCCCACAGTGACTAGTACAACGGAGCAGCTCAGCATTATGCTGAGCTAACCAGGTTTCTAATGGTCCAGTAGAAGATAATTTAGGCCAAAGATGGTAGTCATAGTTTTAGATTTTAAAATCAATTACTATAAGCAAAGCAATATTTTCAAAATCATTATAGCATGGTCTCAAAAATCAATAATCTTATAAATGAAACATTCATGAAAATCAAATAGCAGCAACAATCAAATCTAATTAAAAAAAAAAAAACGATTCCCATAAAAATTATTCCCAACTCAGGCCTGCAATTTTCTTCCACCAAACTCAATGTTGGGGTCAGGGTTCACAGTCCCTGCATCCTACAAGAGATCACATTGAGCATAACTGCTGTGTATCTGTTGGTGAGGCGGGGTATGTAATGTGGGTATGGGTGGGCAAACTTTTTAAAATATGGCACCAATGTTGGGCTACGACAATATGGGAGGCTAAAAATGTTCATAGAAATATCAAATTACCTTCTGCGAAGTAAATGACAGAATGATCAAGCACAGAAACTATAAAAGAAATTCTAAAGATAACAGAAAGTGATTAACAAATAAAACAATGAAAATACATAATATTAACACATTACATGTTAGGTTTTAAAAAGATGCAATACAAAAAAGATCATAAAAACTTTAGCTGTAATTACCAGAGACAGGTAATATCCTTCTTTCAGGTATTCCATAAGAAAACAACCCTATGAAGACAGCATACAGGAAACATCAGCAGAAGAATAAAACATTAAGATAATAATATAAAATACAATAAAATAATAATTAATCTTATCTTACTGGGCAGTGTTGGCATACGCGGAACCATCTGCAGCCAGACCCCCACTTTTGTCCAAACTTTGAAGGACTTAAAAAAAAAATCATACATCGACATTTATCTTAAATTAAAATATATTAAAAATAATAATAATAATAATAATAATTATAATAAAAGAAAAAAAAAACAGACAAGATTCCTAAACTCTGACAGCAAAGTAATACGCATGTTCAAGTTTGCCGTAGAGTAATAAGGGGTATCTGACAATCAGACAAAGACATAATGGGCACCCGTTTTGCTTTCAGTGGCCTGGTCTGGCTTAGATGTTCCTGATGTCTGGCAGTGATGTTATCTCAGGTGGCCTCTTATCTTCACTGCAAATCCACTACAGTGATAAATGGCAGCTGTCCTTTTTTTAAACTGATAAGAACATAATCCCATACAAGGATCAATATCACATAAAAACATGGTAATGCAGTGACTCAGCAGCTGGAAATGCTCAGTAGAGTAAACTCGAATATTCACATATTGAAAAGTTATAATAATAAATAAAAGTAGGATATATAAAAAATCACTTCAGTGGTGTGGAAAGATGCCATAAATCTTGTGGGAGCAGCAATGTTGGCTCACAAGGCTGATACATAATACCCTAACACTGGTCTTATGACCCTTACAGACACAGTAATAGTATAAGAGCTCCTGGCAGTGGACAAACTATGCTGTTGTTCAACTCTCACACTATTTACAAATATACACCATCAACTGTACACACAGATACATGCTCCTTTTCTAGTTAGCACATTATCTTTTTTTTTTAATCTTTTTTTTTTTTTTTTTTTGGTCCAATATTTGGTCCATTCACTTGGATTGGCATAATCCATAATAAATTTCAATGTTCTGAGCTCCAACAAAGGGCACTACAGCTTCCCTCTAACACAACACCAGGGGGAATGCTCACACCACACACACACACACAAAATGTGTTACTCCGTATTGGAATGAGATCATGACCTATTTTTGTCTAAAAAAAAAAAAAAAAAAAGAAAAAAAAAAGAAAAGAAAAAGTTATAATAAAAAAAAAACATCCCTAAGCTCAGACAGCTTTTGACAGCTCTAAAGGTAAAGATTTTGGACACGCAGGGCGCTTGCGCCTGTGTTTTATAGGCGGTGCTAAACTTGGGTAACATAAACGAGAGACAACCTGTTTGGCTTCAGGGGACATCTGTTCTAGGGGTACAGTTCTTGCTGCCTCAAGTTTATCCACTGCTACCCACTCGTCAGGTAAACTGAAAAGGAAAGGAATGTGGATTAGATATCTACACATCATCATTCCCTTTTAATCATTTATAAATCTTTTAGTAATAGTGATGGCATAGAAGGGCATTAGTAGTGACTAATAATATCATCATGATAATAATAATCATACAAATAATGAAGACAATGATAATTACTATTATAATCATAATATAAATTCTGAATTCTATTTCCATTACATCAAAAAACTAACAAAAATCAGAAAAAACATAATTGGATGAAACTTACACTCCCGGGGGATACCATCTAACTAAAGCCTCATTAATTCCCTTTGTACAAGTACGTCTTGCAAGAACCTGTAACAAAATACAAAAAAAAACCATCAAATTGTGCACATCAAAATAAAACTTATGACAAGATTAACGCTCCTTTTTAAAGAATCATTAGGTTCTTTTTTGTAGCTTGCAACCTAGTTTATTAGTGTTCATGTTCCAAAAAAACAATATACATAAAAGTCAATAGTTGCTATTGTAATTTACAGTTAATTTCTCATTGTAATCTAAATCCAATTTTTATGTTTTCTAAAGATTTACATTTTTTTACATTACAAGACAGGGAAAATCTTTTTATAGTTTCCAGTGCTTTAAGCCAATGTTGTTATCAACTACAAGCCTTTAATGACATACCTGAGGCTTGACGACGAAGGAATGACCCGGAGAGTGCGCGACACCTCCATTCTGTTTTTGTGCTACACACATCAGCCTCCACTGTATACACTCCATGACACCACATCAACCATCAAACATACGCGCGTGAAAAGAAAAAAAAAAAAAAAAAATCATGAATTGTTTATCACTGTTTTCAACACCTAAAACTCTATCCTTTACCTCTGGGTAATCTTTACTTCATACAGATATCCTATACATATATCTAGTTATTATAATCTATATATAATATATATTATATATATATATATATATACTACCTAGATATATACAATACATATACATATATATACATATACATACATAAAATATATGTTATGTATGATATTCATATATATTACCTCTATATATGCATATATTATATTATATATAGATATTATATCTATATATATATATATTATATATATCTCTTATATATATATATATAGCTATCTCATCTCTCATATCGAATATCCACGTTTTAAACATATCTCATGATATCCATATATATTATCTAATTATCTATCTATATATATTATATTATATATATATATCTCTTATATATTATAATATATATATATATACATCTCTATATATCTTACCCGTTTCAATTATATGCCTATATATATATATATATATCTAGATATATATATATATATTAATATATAATCTATATATATAATAATATACGTATATATCCATACCCTACATATACATATCCATATAAACTCTCCATATAATACATATACATATCCATATATATTATATAGCGTATATATATAAATATATATATATATATTCATATATCTATAATATATATAGTATATAGATCTATATACAACACGATACATAATTATACATATCATAATATACATGCATATTATAGAATAATTCTATCTATCTATATATAATATAACATATAATACATCTCTACAATACATATATAACTTATATATACATGTCTACATGTATGCCATGCTTTCTGTATGTTTGTATGTATGTATTATGTATGGTATGTATGTATGTATATATTATATCTATTTTATATATATTATATATATAGTATATTAGATATATGTGTGTGTGTTGTATAGATGTATGTATTTATGTTGTGTTAGTTATGTCTTGTGTATGTAATGTCTTTTTTTTTATGTATGTATTTATGTATTTAATGTATGTATGTATGTATGTATGTATGTAGGTATGTATGTATGTAGTATGTATGTATAGATATAATATATATATATATATATATATATTCTATATATCCATATACATATACATATACATATCATTACATATATCTATATATCTATATATATATATATATAAATATATATATACATATACATATACATATACATATATATATATTATATATATTATATATATATATATATATATTGTTTTATAGTAATATTATATGTATATATATATCGCTATATATATATATATATTAATATACTATATATATTATATGTATTGTATATGTATCATTATATGTATATGCTATATATATATATATAAGATATATAGATATATATATATATATATGTATTTTATATGTCTATGTAATATGGTATATGTATATGGATATGTAATATATAATATATTATCTATATCTAGTATATAAATATGATATATATATCTCTGCATGTTATATAGTATCTTATATAATGTATATGTGTATGATATAGATATTCAGCATATAGATATATATATTATATATATAGATATATATATATATATATATATATTATATATATATATATATGTATATGTATCTGTATGTATTGTATATGTTATGTCTTGTAAGTATAGTATAATGTATATGTATATGTGCTATTTGTATGTAATATTTGTATGTATATAATTGTAGTTATATTTGTATGTTAATATATATATATTATAATAATATATTACTCCAAATATAATACTACAATAGATACAGACAATAATATACATACAAATATCTCAATACATATACATATAAATAGACATATACATATACATATACATAATACATACATATACATATACATATACATTATTATATATCTATATATATATATATTATATATATACTCTATCTATATATATATATTATAATATGTATATTATCTATATACATACACATAACTATATATACCTATACATCATATAACATGCATCTCTATATATATATATATATATATATATATAGCTATATATATATATATATATAAGAGACATCTACATTACATAATACCTCTCCATATTACATAACGATACATATATATATAGATATATTAATATATCTATATATATATATATACTATACATAGGACATATACATATACATATACATAATATATATATATATATATATATATATATATATATTATATATATATATATATATATACATATACATATACATATCCATATCAGATAATATATATATATAGTATATTATGCGTATATTAATATGTATATGTATATGGTATTGTATATATATATATATTATAGTATATATATATATTATATATATGTAGATGTTATGTAATAGGTTATATGTATATGTTTTATTATATATATCAATATATATATATATTATTATCTATCCATACATACATACTACATACATACATACATACATACATACATACATACATACATACATACTACATCCATACATACATATACATACACAACATACAACACATACATACAATCATATATCCACACACACCACATATATAATATAATATATTATATATATATAGATATACTATATATTATATATACATACATACATACATACTACATACATACATACATACAACATCATACATGCCTACATTTATACATGTCTATCTTATTATATATGAAGAATCTGTATATGTAGATATATGTATTATCTATAAGATATATATATATCTATATATATATGCAATGTAAATATATATGTATGTTAAGACATGTATATGTGTATGATATATTATTTATCCATTATATATATATATATATATATAATAATATATATATAAATATATATATATCTATATATATATATCTATTATATGTCGATGTATAGTATATATTATAGTTTTATATGATATGTTAGGTAGGTGTATGTATATATAAGTTATATAATATTATATAATATATTATATTATATATATTATATATATATATATAATAGAATTGCATATATATTTAAACGTGTTATATATATATTAGTATATATAGATATATATATATGTATAATATATATATACTATATATATATATATATATATGCATGTATATATAGTATATGTTATATATGTATATGTGTATGTATATATATATAGTAATACATTATAATATATATACTATATTATATATATAATTATATAATATATATAATTTATAAAAAAATTTTTTTTAATAATATATATAGATGTATATGTATATGTATATATGTATAGTTAATGGATATGAATTTAGGTGTATGTATATATAAGTATATATATATATCTATATAATATATATATATATATATATATATATATATATATATATATATATATTAATGAATATTATATGTTAAACGTGTATATATATATAATGTATATTCTATATATATATATATATTATATTATAATATATATATAGTATATATTATATATATATAGATATATATATATATATGCATATATATTTTGTTAAAACGTGGTAGATATATATATATGTATATATATATATATATATATATATATATATATTATATATATATATATATAATATATATTCTATATATATATATATATCTATATATCTATATATGGCATATATATATGTTATATATGCATATACATACAAAAATATATTATGTGTGTATGTATATGATATCTATGTATATGTATATGTATATATATATGTATATATATATATATATATATATATCTATATATAGATATATATATATATATATTAAATAATATATGTATATGTATCATCTTGTATGAAGTAAAGATACCAGAGTTAAAGGATAGTGTTTTTAGGTTTGTTGAAAACATTGATAACAAATTCAGATTTTTTTTTTTTTTCGTTTCAGCTCGCCGTATGTTTGATGTGTTGATGTGGGCTTGTCATGGAGGTCTACGTGGTAGGCGCGGATGTGTGTAGCACCAAAAAACAGATGGAGGGTCGCGCACTCTAGGGTCATTCCTTCGTCGGCAAGCCTCAGGTATGTCATTAAAGGCTTGTAGTGATAACAACATGGCTTAAAGCACTGGAAACCTATAAAGAAGATTTTCCTGTCTTGTAATGTAAAAAAATGGAAAATCTTTAGAAAACATAAAAATGGATTAGATTACAATGAGAAATTAACTGTCAATTACAATAGCAACATTGACTTTTATGTATATGGTATTTTGGAACATGAACACTAATAAACTAGGTGCAACTACAAAAAAGAACCTAAGATTCTTTAAAAAGGAGCGTGTTTAATCTTATCGTAAGTTATTTGACGTGCACATTGATTGTTTTTTTTTGTATTTGTTACAGGGTCTTGCAAGGACGTACTTGTACAAAGGGATTAATGAGGCTTTAGTTAGATGGTATCCCCCGGAGTGTAAGTTCATCAAATTATGTTTTTTTGATTTTTTTTTATTTTTTTGAATGTAATGGAAATAGAATTCAGAATTTAGATTATGATTATAATAGTAATTATCATTGTCTTCATATTTGTATGCTAGTATTATCATGATGATATTATTAGTCACTATAATGCCCTGCTATGCCCATCACTATTACTAAAAGATTTATAAATGACTAAAAGGGGAATGATGATGTGTAGATATATAATCCACATTGTACCTTTCCTTTTCGTTTACATGACGAGGGGTAGCAGGGATAAACTTGAGGCAGCAAGAATTGTACCCCTAGAACGATGGTCCCCTGAAGCCCACAGCAGGTTGTCTCTCGTTTATGTTACCCAAGTTTAGCCCGCCTATAAAACACAGGCGCAAGCGCCATGCGTGTCAAAATCTTCACCTTTAGAGATGTAAAAAGCTGTCTGAGCTTAGGATGTTTTTTTATTATAACTTTTT